TTTATATTAGTTGTATAATCTAGTTCGCGAATAATAAACTAATTAGTAGAAAGGGTAATATCGTACGCGCAGTAATTAAGCATCTCCTCCTATATATAAATTTAGGTAGGTATACTACGACTGAGTAGCAGTCTTCCTAAACACGAGAGTTGGCATCTATTCAAGGCGAGTCGATTCATGGAACGCTTAGGATTGAAAAGAGTCTCAAGCAAGAAGTAAGGTATCAAGGTAGCTAGAGGTTGGAGCTGTAGGTTCAAGGACTGGTTGAGCCTACAGTAGAGAGAGTAGTAGGAAGGTCCCATAGGACACTGTAGGAGAGAAGCTGACGAGGGCGACTCTTCAAATTTTAGAGTTTTGCCTGCAGTCACGACATAGTTCTCGTAACAAGTCCCGTCACATCCCTGCTACGTGTTCCAGCTGTTTATTAAGAGCTCACTATAAGAGGTAAGAAACCTGTCAGTGTTCAGTCTGTTTGCAGCTGCAAGGTGAGCTGCAGCTGCAGAACAGATTAGAGCGTCTACAGTACAATAGTTCATTTTGTGCTACCATCTAATTTTAAGGTAATTTAGCAGATGTAGATCTCAAACCTTTACTTGGTCCTCTGTATAGACCAGAACAGCCGAACAAACTTGTAGTTCTGCATAACGAAGAATCAAAATTTCATTACCTTCAGTATTAAAGTAACACTTTCTGGATGCCAAGTCAAAATGGTAACAACTGCAAGTAAAATTATACATTAACAAGACACTTCAACGAAACGGAGTCGCTTAGAGCGAAAAAAAGAATAAAGGAAAGTTTGCCAAAACTGTCCTTATATTAGGCAGGGAAATTTTCTCAATTACCAAACCGTAACGCGCAGTTTATGAGATCACAGTACACTGGAAAAAATAGCACTTGAAAGCGACAGAGGTAAGAGAGACTTTTTCAGCAAAACCACTTTAGGGAAACAAAAATATGTTTATCCACCCGCGCAGTATCTCAAAAATCAAATTAAGTCACGACGGCAGATGAGACAGGAATTGCCAAATTCCTTGAATATTAACAATTATACTTGCGGATGCTTTTGACATCAAAAATTAAGAAATATCTTCACAAACCTGTCAATCAACATTCATATATAAATTCGTGAGCCAAACTGGGACTCACATAACTCTTGCACAAACGACTTCAACGTCGCTACCACCAGCCCCCACTGTCCAGAGCTTTCTAATGATTTACGTTCAAGAAAGCGTAACTGAGATACAACTGTTGGAAGGTCTTCGCATTGCACTAGCTGATAAAAATAGATCACTAAATTGTCCACTTCCTGCTTGAGAGGCTCTAAAAAAGTTACTCGGACGTATTTAGAAATACTATGGTTTCTGATCCGGAAAAAAAGTAGCTAAATTAAAACTAACAAATTGATAATGGTTGTGTGCTCTAATTTCTGATTCTATGTTAAAACTATCTAAAAACCAAGATTTGAAGGACGCACTCTTCAAAATACTTTGGAAAACAAGCCTTGTTAATTAAATTGATTACTTTCGTTCCATTCCCTCTGCTAATGAAGAACCCCGGTACAACTTATAGAACTATTATTTGAATAAATAATAAAAGTACAGAATAATTAAAGCACTAAATTATCAAAAGACAAAGAAGTGGGAGCAACTAACCGGCTGAAAGAACGTTCGACATTTTGGCTTTAACTTCCAAATCATCACAAACATCATAATAAAAAGGACGAACATGAACACGCTCAAAAACCTAAGTGAAATAACATTTGACACGCTCAGAAATTTCACTAACAATAATAATGGATTCTCTTACAGAGTATTCAGTAAAGACAAGAAGACAAACCTTCAACTTCCTTTCCGCTTCATCACGAATAGACTCTCTAACAGCTTTCTTGAAAAACAGATCTTCCTCCAAAACAACCTCTTTATTTATTTTTTTTCTTGGAGCTCCCTGAACCTTGAAAAAGTCTGCTAAAGTGTGAGGTACTTGCTTAGGAAGAACTGGATTAATTTCTTCCTTCAGATGGGTCAACTGAAGTCCGATCTAAAAATCAAAGTTATATTACTTTGTTGAAAAATAAGTTGGTTCTTGTGAAATCCGATCTATAATTCAAAAATCCCAGTGTTTACCCCTCTAAGGTCCGGTATAACAGGGTTCAATGCTTTTGCAAGCCTTTTGGCTTCCTCAAATATAACTGTAGCACTTGAAAGGGGCTTAGAAAGAAGATGAGTAGAGCGCGTTAACACATCGCACTGCCCGCATCCCATATATTTTTCTGGTTCAATTGGAGCGTCGGCTGATCGTACCTCAAAAACACTAAATTTTATTGCCTATGCTACTCATAAAATAAACTGATAATCAACAAGAAGATTCGGAAATTTTCGACTTTTGAAGAGCTTCAAATCTGGTATAAGAGAGAAATATTCCGCAGTAGAACGAAGTAATGAGAGTAAAACGAAATTACTAAGACCGTCAGTAAAATCAAATAAACTGAGAAAAGCACGCAGTGCAACTAAATCAATGTGAGGAAGATTGAGAAATATACTAGTAGTCGCAGAGTTAATGACGACCCACTGACACGCGCAGTATTAATCTTCTGTTCCATCTGGTAGGAGAGCTTTCTTAAAAAGTCAAAAAGCTCACTCTCCTAAAATAATATATGATTAACAACTTTCCTAATAAGCTGTCAGATAATTGCACTGATTTTTTAGTTCCCAAATTCTTAATTATTAGTTCAAAAACTTGTTCAGTGGTCATTTGATCACTGAACAACTTAAAAGTACTTTGATCACTGAA